CGGGTACTACCTTGTCGTGGTGGAGGGGCTTAAGTACCCTGAAGGGTTACTCTCTAAAACTCACTCAGTGGTTTATTACTGAAAACAATGAATATTCACTGATTTACAGTAATGATGCACTGATTAATTTTTAGAGAGTAAAGACCCTAAAGACGGGACAACCAAAGGTACCCATCGCGTTCGGGAGTGCTGTATAAAGTATTCGCATTAATAAAGACATTTCAAAGCTCGTTTGAAAGATATGTAGTTTTTAAATGTCCGTTCCTGTCGATGGCCACACTTCCGAGATTTGGCAGTTTTTGGGACGAGTTCGTTGCGACATCGTTTCGACATCGATCGACGAATCATTTCTCACTGGGATCATTTCTTTTATAATATTGTATGTATTGTAAAGTAAATTATAAGAAAAATGTAAAAAATCAAATTGTAAAGAAAAGAGAACCGTCGATTAAACGCGGCGAGGGTGGTGGAGGGCCTCTATATAGGTCGATTTGTTTCTATTGAATAAAATTTTAGTTCGATTTGATTCACATAGTCTTTTAATCGATAGAGTTTTGTTTGCAATTGATCAATAAATTTGCCTTTACAGTTTGATTTTTCGTTTGCACATTAATAAAAAATGTTGTACAATTATAAGCACAGCCACATATGTGACACGTTGTGTGTACTGTATAACATTTTCTATTAATGTTTCACATTGTAAGAGTTAGGTACGTATTATTGTAAACACATGTAACATGTTCATATGTAATTTTATGTCATAATGAAAAATTGTACATATTTTTATTGTATATCATGTTTTTAGTTTCACTATGTAACTTTATCTCTCTCTCTCTCTCTTTCTATATTTTTCTATATATTTCAAAATAAGTTGTGAATAAATTTAATTAAGTTATAAAAATGTAAAAACGCAATTTTATCGCAAACAAAAGAGGACCGTCGATAAGAATTCGGCGGGGGTGGTGGAGGGCCTCTACAAGTTGGTCCCCCCACAACGATGCACAGCCTGCGCCATCTGTACGTCTCGTGCTCAACCTTCATCGAAGTTGTCGGCTGCATTATCAACATCAGAAGTATTCAAGAACGCTTCACTTATCAAGCAAGCTGATCACTGTAGATTCCTGTAGATTCCGCAAGGACCGCCACGATGACGTTCTGCATTATCGATAACCTCGCAACTGTACTAAATGATTATTTTAAAGAGAAGCTCAACATTTTACCCGCAGTCTTTAACACAGTATCTCTTTATACGCTCGTGTATCAATCGCTTGCTAATGCACGCGTCATTCATGATTTAAAAGGGTTCTCTCGCCACCGGCATTCAAGATGGCAGCGGCCTAGCGCGCAGCGTGCTCTCGAGAACGTCTTGTCCCGTACACGTGCAGCACGGCTCGGTTGTCGAGAAATGTTCTCCAGATTTTGCAACTTGTGCCAGAGACCCGCGTACGTCCAGTTCGCGCAACTGCAAAGATGCTACGTAAGTGCGACACTGTTATCCCGTTGTCTGTTTCACTGCACGAGCAAATGTTAACTATTGATGTCCCGTGCAGAGGAAAGGCCCCAAGAGAAGAGGTAACGCCAAGCGCGTCGAGGCACCGAGAAATACAGAAGACAAGACACCGATAATCGTCGGTAAACGGAAAGAGTTCAACTTCTACGAGGGGCAAACGTATCCCAAGTACGAGCCGATACCACTGATCAGCAAAGGATGGCATCACTATAAATCTAAAGGGGACTACTTCTCTGTATATCCTCTCACGAGCGTACGTTGACGATTCGTTGAGTATCCATCGAGGGGTAAACCGCTGGGAGCACTGTGGTGTACAGATCTGCGGCATTACTGGGCATTACTAGATATTTTTTGAGCATTAGGCGTTGCTGGAGCATTATAAAGATAACAAGATGAAATAAGATAAAGTAATGCTCACTGGGGCTATTGGTGTACATGGTTTTGGTCAGCGGTTTACCCCGTGGTTTTCCATTGTTATTCTCTGGTGCCGTATTCATTTTATTTCAACAGACACTGAAATTTTCAGGTAAAAAAAGAGTCGTACGGCAAGTCGTTGAAAAATGAAGAGGGAGAAGAAGAAGAAGACGCATGCGACTCTTTCGATCAGTTTGGATTAGATCCACAATTAATAGACGTCTTAAAAAGATACAGTATAACGAAACCTTTGAAGATACAGAAAATGGGGATACCAAAGATAATAAACGGCGCCAATACCGTCATAGCGGCAGAAACCGGTTGTGGGAAGACGTTAACTTACCTCCTACCCATGATAGATGAGGTTTTAAGGTGGAAAAAGTTAGCAGGGCATCGATACAATGCTCCTCTTGGACTGATTGTGACGCCTACTCGAGAATTGGCATTTCAAATTGGGGTTGGTATGACAAAACGCGAAAGATTCGCCTTAAGCGTTTTTAAATTATACACGTGTCTCCACAGCTGGAAGCGAAAAAGATATGCCAGTATCTTGATATTCGTACAAAAATTATCACCGGTGGAAAAACGAAGAAGATGATGCTGGATCCACCCATGGAGATGGTCGATATCGTTATAGCCAGTTTCGGAGTTATCAGCAAGTTAACTACAAACAAGGTTTATGAATTGGACCTGGTCAGGCACATTGTATTGGACGAAGCGGACGCTTTGTTCCATGACACGTTTGAGGAGCAACTGCAAGTATTCTTGAAAAGGGTGCCGGTACGTTCGCACATTTCTCAACGTTTATGATAAAATTTATTCTAATACAGCGTATACGTCTCTGAACGCGACAATATTATTTCTAGCTCGGTTTCGCGCAAACCGTGGAGGATGCCAAGCTACCAATAAGCGCCCAATTCACGTTAGCTTCCGCGACGATGCCTTCGAGAATGTCAGAGGTTCTGGACGGTATCATAAATGTAAGACACCGTCAAGATATTGAAATTGGACAGCAAGATTAGACCGTCCGCGTTACTTGTTTATCCGCTTGCAGGTGCAATCGTTGGAGCACGTGGTATCGAACAAGTTGCATCACATTCTCGTGCCGCAAAAATTTATAAGAATGGGGTCAAGCGAGAAGCCGGCCGAACTCCTGAAATACATCAAACCGAAAGTGGCCAGCAGAGAGCAAGTGATTATCTTCAGCAACAACAACGCCACTTGCAATTGGGTCAGTATGTTCCTGGACAATAGCAACGTACAAACGGTCCCCTTGAACGGCGACATGCCGCTGTATGAGAGACAGAACAAGTACGCCACCTTCAAAAGCGGCAAATGCCGAGTGTTATGCACTACAAACGCCGGATCGAGGGGTTTGGATACGGTGGCGATACGTTATGTGTTGAACTACGAATTTCCGGGTGCGACCGCCGATTATATCCACAGGTATACAATTAATATCTGCTACTATTTATCGTGTCTCTTACAAATCTGTGCTTGCGCGCTTGAAATGGTAGCATAAACCTGCGATGGAATATTTCATGACGGCGCGTTCGTGTACGTGCGCTTTCAGATGCGGTAGAACCGGAAGAGTCAGTAGCGTTGAGGACTGCAGAGTGGACAGTTTTATAAGCACTCCGAAAGAAATTGCTGTAGTGCAAAAAATAGAGAGGGCGATACGAAAGATGAAACCAATACCGATATTCGATATCAACGAAGGGCAGAAGGAGGACGATACCTACCTGCCATTTGGATCGGAAAGTGAACCGGAAACGCAGCAAGAATTTAGCATACCATTCTGAATCGTATTACACGATTGTGTAAATAAAGATTGTTTTACTGCTCGATAATATCCTCGCAGTTGCCATATGAAAGTCATGCGAACACGAACGCGAACTCGGCGTCGTTCGGATGCAAGTTGCGCCGATAACGCTGTTTTTTTTACTTCGCGCAGCTTACGTAATTAAGCTGCTCGAGGACAGCTGCGCTTTACGAGGAAACCTTCGGAGTGCCGTCCAATGGGATTAACTAATTAGCGAAATGTTGTTGCCCTGTTTGATCTCTTCAAGAGACCTTACTCCGAGCAACTTCTCCGCCCAAACTTATCGGATTAATTAAGCTCTCTGCGTCAGCATTATCCGCCGGAACTTTTATGCGTCTCTTCCCCCGATTCTTCCGTAATTTATTTCAATTCATTTGCTCCTCGCGAGAAACACTCGAGAGCACATTTCCGTCCGTTTCTACGACGCCGCTTATCGTCGACGTGGCGCGTTCGCCTGATGAGGAAGTTGATCGAGCCGAGCGCGTCCTACGCCCGAATGCTTTCCCCCCTCCCGTCGCCCGGCGGCTCCTTTTATCGCGCCGATTCTTGAATTCTGAGTTTTAGTTCCAGGGAGGAAGCCACGACCCACACGTACGTTGTACGGCACGCTCGTCCATCCGCTCGTCCGATGGATGTCCCCCCGTCGTGTCCGGCGGCACTCCCACACGGCGAACGCCCACACGCGCGGCAAATAGCCATGCTCTCCCCTAAACAACCGCGGCAGACCTTGCGTCCAGACCGCCGTCGACAGTTTATTATTCGCGCCGGCGGTTTTAGCGAGATTAAACGCGCCCGGCACGCGCCGCGCCGGCGGTTCGTGCCCGCGCGCACGTGGTGATGATGGGTGCGCCGGATCGTGTCACCACGACGCACGGAAGGACCCTCATTGTCCCGCGAGACCGGAGGACGACGCCCTGAAGCGATGGAACGAAGGCCAGGGCGAGTTGTCATCCGTGTGAACGCGCGCACGCTTCCGTTATCCGCGAATCCTTCGGCGAAACGCGAGAGTAAGGCTGCGGTCAAGCTGCCGCTACAAACGCTTCGAAGCGTTTCTCTTCTCCTTTTAACTTTATTGAAAGAAAGGAAAAGAAGAACACTTCGAAGCATTTGTAGCGGCAGTTTGACCGCAGCCTAAGTCCAGCTCGTCCCCGTCGCGGATATTTAAGTCTGATGCCAGCTGATGAGAACACAGTGGACCCTCGATCGAACGAATACATAAATTAATAATACAATAACTTAAAAAATTTTTTTTTTAATTTACATCCAATTGCTTGTACGTGACAACTGTCTACAAGCAGACGATACTGCTGCCTTCATTTGTGCACATTTTAAAAGAATCTGAAACTGAGACTTTCCCTTCATCTCCGCCTTCAGATATTGAATAAAAACTACTGTACTATTATAATTTAATAATTTTATATTGTACGGTACTATATATTGTATCAAAGCATTCTTTACATTGAAAACAATTTAAAGAATGATGAAAAATGGCCCCCCCTAGATTACAGTCAACAGATTTTCGCATTAACGAACACTTCTTCTCCCCATTAGTCCGTCAAATCAAGGGTCTACTGTATCTTTTGCGCGGGATACAGTTGTGGATAATTCCGTTTTAATCTCATTATCATGTTTCATTGCGTTATCCTTTCCCGTTCTCTCTCATTCGTCGTGTCGCGGACAGCATCGTCCGCCGTATAAATCGATCGAGACGGTTGCCGATTCTCAATATTTCCGCTCAGGGAAATTCGCGTTAAATCAATTTAGCCGCTTGTTCCCGGACTGGCGCAGCTTCTGCTGTGTATACACGATTTAACGAGCAGTCGTTAGCAGTCCACGCGCTCCGAAAGGGTACGACACGGTCACGCCTTTGGTACACCGTCATTAATGTTACCGTCTACCGTCGCCGCCACCGGTAAACGACGAGCAACGGGCTGACGGTAGTGACGGCCGCAATAATAATGGACTAATTAACGTGGGTGGCCGCGTGACATGTGGAACGGGGGGCGGTTTAGAGCGGGCGATACGCAGCATCTATCCGGGGGATCTTCTCTCTGATCTTAGCCAGGCCTGGCCTCGCGCCACACGCGCTTTCCGCAAACGGACCCCTGGTGCTCCGTTTCATCAGTTTAAAATCGTATCTTCCTACGAATCTACCGCGTCGAAAGCTTTACGGTCATAGGCGCAATTTTTTTTTCAACGGAACGTTTCTACGAAAGGACAAAAATATGTACAATACAGGTTCGATGAAACGTAATGTATGTGTGCGTTCGATTGAAGTTGTATTGTAGATTTTTTTTATTCGATTCCGAACAAATGGCATCAGGGATATTTGATTCTGGGCTGAATTAGTTATTTAAAACTACTTTTCATCGATTGATTTACTTCTGCTACATAAGTTATTACTTTTTCCAGTTTTACATTTAATTTTTTACATGTCAAAGTTGCGATTCCACGATTCCAGGGAAATTTGTATTAAATCAATTGAACTTTTCCAATCACAGACTCATTCGTTTGATTTAATGATTGTTAAATTTTATTACATTAAGCATTTGCAATAACTATTTACTTTCTCCAATAGCAGGGTTGGGAAAGTTACTTTATAAAAGTATCTAGTTACAGTTACAGTTTTTTCGCTAAAAATGTAACTAGTTACAGTTACAAGTTAAAAATTCTTAAAAGTAACGTGTTACTGTTACTCAAATAGTAACGAATTGTTACTTTGCAGTTACTTTCTTGCAATAGAAATAAAAATATCAAGTCTGCATTTAAATTGTAAATTTTCAATAAAGGCGTTTATGCGCTAATGTCAGGCCTAATGTGATCTGTGGAGGTTTAAAATATTCTAAAGTAACTAGTAATGTAACTGACAATGAGTTAAGTTAGAGTTACCAAACAAAGTGACTGTAACTGTAACTTCGTTACAAGTAACGATATACGTCCCAACCCTACTAAATAGCAGATAGTATTTCTAATAGTATAAGTTAGATTCTAACGTTAAACTATTTCCTTTAAATCACGAATATCTTTACACGAAGAAATGATCGTAAATTTGTTTATGAAGGAGGAAAAAGGAATAACCCATTATATTTTTACACGATTGCATTTCTCTCTGCTCCTTTCTACAAGGGGAACGTTGACGGAGCATACGATGTACAGTACCGTAACGACGAGAAAATAATTACATATATAACATTTAATTGTTTTGATGAGAAGCTGTATTCAGAAAGAAGCGTTATGCTCGCACAGATTGCGCGTAGAAAGATGGCTTACAAAGTCTTTACGTAGACGGGGATTGTTATTGTTTACGCGGAGATACCCAACACTGGCTCCACACATACTATACATGTACGCAAACACGGCCGCTTACGTAACCGGAAAAAAAGACGCGATTCTTGGAAACGCCCGACAGAAACGCGATCTGCGAACAAAATAGATCAGTCAGTCACTTGCCAAGATGATTTATAAAAGTTTGTACAAACTCATGCTCGGACGTGTAACCTTGCCATCTATATTGCATCACTAACTTTTACGAAATATCGCAATTTTACTGATAGCTTCGTTAAAAAATGTTTATATAATTGCTGGATAAAACTGAAATATCTTAATTTTTAATTATAATATTTCTATGAAAAGATTAACTTCTCCTTTCGTATCATTAGTGCTCTATAAAGTCCAATTTACAATGTGCCCTTTGCGTCTAGAAACATTCTATTTTGTAGCGAATGAATATGTTTAAAAAATTTGTGTAAGTTGATAAATTGTACATTATACGTTGTACAGTCGTACGTTGTCGACGAATCTTTTAAAGCGTTTTCGATTTGCTTAAAAAATCGAATGCTTCTAGACGCAAAGAGCACATTGTAGATTAGGCGTAATTGTGTCTATAGTTTTATGCCAGACAAAGAAATGTGGAATGATTTACCGATTACGAAAAAGACATTTCAACTTTTAGAATCTATCGCAGTTTATATATCGAAATGCTGAACCTAAAATGTCATTAATTTATTTCTCATTCAATTCTAAAGACTCTTATGGAGAAGACAGAATTCCATTAATTACGTACCGTTCTAAAAACAAGGTGCTGACTTCGCAGACTCGCGATTACGAGTGTGTATGGCGGAAACACGACTTAAGTGTACCGGCCATAAATCTACTGTCTAATAAGTTATACTGCCGCTTCGTGTAATCGTCAGTCTCGCGCCGGAGACCAATTTTTTCCCTCGGCGAGCGCAAATTACCATGGAAATTCTTCGTCCAATGTCCACCGTTCTCAGTATCCATTAACGTTGCACGCGAGTGTTTCACGTGCGCGTGCATCGCGACGGGAAAATTGATTTCGATCGTCGCCGGTCGATTTTTTGCCGCACTGCGCCCTAATTCGATTTTAATAACCCTCTGCAAGAATCGCGCGCGCGCGCGCGAGCTTGATCCTGACGGTCGAGCGTATCGTCGAGTCATGCTCGCCAGGAACCGGCTCAGGAATCCCGGAATCTCATTTCGATTGCGTGAAAATCGCGATTAGTCAGAAATAACGAGCTAACGAGCTGCGAGCGCGATTATGATTTAAAACAATTATGATGCGTTTTGCGCTTAGAGTCGGCGACCTCGCTTACTCCCGTCCGCGTCGCACGACACACGCGTACGGTATTAATATTGCGGTATTAATTATTTGGTGTTTCATATTAATTAATTCATTGTTCCATACTGTTTAATCATTCGGTTTTTATTTCTTTAAGGCGATACACACATACAATATTCTAGTATCGCATGTGGCACATCAATTACCTGATTATTATTATGACCCATATATTAATAATTACTTTAGAATATTCGCGCGTTATACACACATCATATCAATATTACATTTAATAGAAACAGTACGTCAGGTGATTTAGGATGCGGCAAAATCTGATTTGCATAGTGCGAATTTAAACGGAATCTCAGACTGATAGTGAATTCGATTGCTTGCACTAGTGCGCACTGGGTGCACACTAAGACTTATTTATAGTCAATATTCTTATATTGAAC